AAGGCGCTGCTTCAAACCGCACCGCCCAGCTCTGCGCCTCTCCAGCCTCCCGTCAGCACGCTGCCTGGTCGCCAAACGGCCGGGTGCTGCCGCAGAAGCACACCTCGCCCAGTTCCCTGGGACGGCTTCCCAGTCCTGAGCACCAGGTTTTGAAGCGCCACAATCGGGAGCGATGAATCTCAGTGCTCGTAATTATCTCTGTGTGTGGAAGACGGTGCCGATCTCCTGGGGCCGCTTTCAGAGCGCCAGGTCTGTTACGCTCCTCCTGGGGAGCCTTCCCTTAGCTGACAAAGGCATCAACAAGTAGTAAAGCCTCCCAATTATAATTGTTATGGCCTTTTACCCAGACGTGTAGCTAAAGCAGTCTCGAGTGTTAGGTTTTTTAATGAGTTTTTATTTTTAAGATACGATTTTCAAATACAAGAGACTGTATATTTAAAAGATGAAAAGGTCTTAAAAGCTGCTTGAGCAGAAGCATTTTAGAGGGCAAACCGAGTTACAGTGGCAGCGCTACTGGAAAGCTTACCCCGTACCAAAAGGGGCCACTGAGCTTTGTAAGGCAGAGATTCACCACGCCACCTCGCTTTTATCTTTGTTCCTTAGTTACAATTATTGTGATCCAGTTAAAGCTCCTGTGGTTAATCAGAAAGGCACCTCTGGTTTGTTGGCTCGCAGGAGATGTAATGCCACTGAAGCACAGAAATAAATGCTATTTGAGGGAACGTGCCTCAGCTGAGGTAGCCCAACCAGGTGCCATAAGCCAGCTTAGCCATCCAGCATAGCAGCAGCGTTAAGTTTCCAGTAAGAGCTGAAATAACAGCGTTATTTCTCTCCCTTTTGCAACACCAGTGAAACTCTATTGTTTATCATCACAAGCAGTGCCTTAAAACACCTGTTGTCTTCCTTGTCCCAGCTGTTCTTTCCTGCAAAACTTTCCTTCTTCCCAGTGTGGTGGTAAAATTATTAATACTTGAGAGGGCTGGCTAAGAAGTTTATCCTGACTCAAAGAACATTCCTTTCGACTAACAGCTAGCAGCCTGTGATTGTAGCCAACTCCCCACTTCTGAGCCAAGATCACACAAGGTGTGCCACTCCCATCGGCTCCGCCAAGAGCCATCTCTCCACAGCATGGCGTTACTTACTGCTTGATTCCTTCTTACACTTGTGGTAGTTAGAAAGCTGCTAAAGGAGTCCGTCCTTCCCAGGATGGATACCTGCCCTTTGCTAACTTCGAAATGATTGTTTTTCTTTTCTGAAACAGTATATAGCTTGGGTCTCTGGGATCACTTGGCAGAGAACAGGGGAGCAGGGAGGCAAGTGCGTCCCAGATGTTCTCTCGCTATGATCGTAGTTAATAACGCCTCTGCCTGACCTGTCCTAAACTGGACTTGTGTTATTACACACTTGGGAGTCCCCGAACTCCAACACAGGTTAATAATCACAGGGTCTGTTTATCAAAAAGGTCCTCGTTAATAAAATCATAAAATGCACCAAATGTTTATAAAACACACAGCCTTAATTAGAAATACCTTTTAATTTACACTAATCAACAATAGAAAAATACTGAAGCTGTAAAAATCCAGTCTGATCACACAATCGAAAAAAAACAAAACAAAACCCACAGAAATTGATGCTGCCCATCACTAAACCTTCTGAGAGTCAAGAACAAGTTTCTCCATCTCTTCTAGAAGTCCACCAAAAGAAAAAAAAAAAAAGAATTCACATCTACATTTCTGCTGAAAAGAAGAAACATGTTGAAAATTTCCAGATCGGGGAGAGGGATTTGGAAGAAACAAACACTTCAGCCAGTGGAAAAGGTTTTTCAGGTTCTTTGGCTCTCACAAAATACAGGTGTCCCTACCAACACACACGTGGAACAAATCACAAGGACGAAACTCCTCTCCAGGCCGACCTGTGGACAACACAGTGCTGGAGCACCCTGCGTCCACAACTCCCCTTACTCAGCCAGGAGCTGGAGTGGTCCCGAGGGCTGAGAAACAGAGTTCCCAGGTTTTTCGGTTCAGATAAAGGGGCTGAGGGTTAAACTTAATACTGGAAGCTGCGTTTAGTCTGAATGTCGTCAAGAATCTGCTGTAATTCCTCGTCTTCAAATCGGCCCTCCAGGCTGCAAGGTAAGGACAATGAGGGTACATGAACGATTTTAGAAATAACCTCCCCCCAGATTCATTTCAGAGAGCCGTCGTTCTCTCCCGTCAGTCTCACACCACCATCACCCACCCGTATGGTGCCACCAGGAACCGGCTGTGACATTACTGTACAAATACCACTCTAATCCCTGTGTGGTGCACAAAACCCCATCCTTCCCAGAACTTTCTGCTGAGTAATTTCAAAACGTTTTATCGGAAAGGCAAGGCAGGTGCATGTTTAAATAGACCTCTAAATGAAGTCCATGTAGCCTCATGCTCGTAAGCCAATCCAGTCTTGCTGAGAAATCTTAGCACACAGGGAAAAAACTAATTCAGGCAAATGTTTCGTTCCTTCTTCTGCCTCGGGCCATGAGGTAACAAATCAAGATACGGTACCAGAATTGTTGACATGCCTGAGGGACACTTAAAAAGATTTCCTTGCTGTCAGATCAATGGGTATGTGAAAAAAAACAGAGACCAAAAGTTTTTCCACCAACAGAGCCAGACTGAAGAGAGGACATGTGCCCATAGGTGGCTTCAGATCACAGCAAAGTATAAAGCAGTCCTTTTACGACATATAAATGCTCACCTAGGAATCAAGGCTTTTGCTTCCTCAGCTGTCTCGGGACACAAGTTAGCCAAACATGCCAGTTCAAATTTATGGAGCTTTTTCTGGAGCAGCAAACTATAAGTAAAGACAGTAACTTAGTGAAATTACAAGCAAGCTAGAAATATGAAAGGGTGTAAACCAAACAGGTATCTTTTTTTTTACACTGCAGTCAATGTTTTTTTTTTCAGGAGGAAAGACTCATTATACAACTGCATAGAGGAAAAAAAAGTCACATTAACTGCACTTCCCCTGAATTACTCTACAAAGTCTAGAAAATCTTCCCATTTACTGCAATCAGAGGCCCTTCAAATACTGAAAACAAAGCAGTTCAGAAAGCTTGATCTTGACAAAGTACAACCCTCCATGAAGAATTACGATCAAATTTCTCGCCTCTTCAGAAAGACAAGATTCAGAATTATGATACGAATCAGGAAACACCACTAAACTGTACTTTCAAACAGCAACATCAACATTACACACCAAATCCTCCAGCATAGTCTAACACCCCAACTTCTCCACTCACCTACGGACACTGGCAATGGTTTCTCGGTTCTTGAAACGGCTGAAGCGCGCCGTGTAGTTCAAGGTTTTCATGAAGACTTCTGAAAGCTCCTGCTCATCTTCCGCACTCTCGTTCTGTTGCTTACGATGCTCAAGAAGCATATGTACTTCTGAATTTAGAAGGGTTTCCGCAGTTTCGAATTCTACATTTGAATGAGCGAACACAGCATATAAAAAGGTGAAGTATGCATGAAAAAGTGCACTTACAGAAGTTCTGCGTGTAAATTTAGCTTTGGGCAATAAGGAAATGAACGACGTGCTTCACTGCAAGCCCGTTCACCAATGACCGGGCAGCATTTCATGCTGAAAATGCTGATCAAAATTACACCATTTGGAGTGACAACCCAATGCGTCTGTCTCTTTGACCACGCACTTGACATTTGCAGCCCTAACCTTCTGATTTGTCACATTTTTGCAGTATGTTTTCTTCACTCGGTTTTGTCAGACCTTAAGTAATGCATGACTTGTTTTAGAAAAAACATTTAGAGCCATAATATTAAAAAAATTCGGAGGCGGCGCCTATGGTCTTTGGAAGCCTGCGAGTTCTTAAAGTAAATGTGGATGCTGCTGAACATATTAAAAAAGGCTTCATTTACTTGAAAGGTTAACTGACCCACTGAAATTTTATTATCAGAAAAAAAGTTTTAACCAATCTTAACAGATTTTTCCCCACACTTTTTAGCCAAACTCTTTATTTTTGTTCATTATCATCATCACTGTACTTGCTCCAATAACAAGAAGGTCTTTCAACATCAGCAGCAGGAGCTGTTCAACGCAGCGAGAGCCAAGATGGCACCCCGGGGTGCCCTTCAGCACAGCCTGTTCGTGTCCCTCCTTACAACTCGGGCTCTGGACAGCTGGCTTCCAACAATGCTGCGCTGTATCACTCTCAAGAAACATCGATTTAAAAGCAACGGCTACACCAAAAACCAAACACCTTCTTGCTGTAACCTCACACAAAGAATTTTTTATTCCTGTACACGCAGTGCTCCACCCACGTAAGAACAGCCGTATTTTAGCCATCACGGCTTCCTTAAATATATCTACGATTTATCCGCCCCGGTTTTTAGCCCCTGGGGCTCTGTGACCGGCGGGGCGGGGGCCGAGCAGCGCTC